TGGTAACAAGCCACTCCAGGAACTACCCCACCCACCCGGCCAGCATAATCCTCCAAGGATCCATTCCTCCTCAAAGATGGAAAACAGCAATTCATTCTGGGTAATGCATAATCATTAACAAGGAAGAAATCCTGGCTGGGACGAGATACAGATCTGGATCTTCTTCTCCCATGCTAGAATTTCTCCCCTCCTGGTGACCAGGGATCTCCAGCCTGGTTAACTCCAGAAATTACAACCAAGCAAAAAACACAAAAACTTTTGTTTCAAATGAAGAGTCCAACTAGGCAAAAAAGATGCACTTTTTAAAGTATCAATTCTCTCTTAAAAAGACTTTACCCCAAAGAAAAACAAACAAAAGGTATTTCACCAACATCAATAAAGAAGTACAGGTAGCCAGGCTCAGTGGCTAAACCTGTAATCCCGCGCCTTGGGAGGCTGAGGTGAGTAGATTGCCTGAGCCTGCAGGTTCGAGACCCGCCTGGGCAACTTGGCAAGACCTCATCTCTACAATAAATCAAAAATTAGCTGGGTGCAGTAGCGCCTGCCTGTAGTCCCAGCTACTTGGAAGGTTGAGGCGGAAGGATCGCCGGAGCCCAGTAGGTCAAGGCTGCGGTGGCCGGGAGTGGCCACTGCACTCCAGTCTGGGCAACAGAGTGAGACGTTAACTCAAAAAAAAAAAAAAGAAGAAGCACAAGTAGATTGGTTTTCCAGCCCTCTGTCTTTTCCATGCAGTGTTCACAGCCAGGATAATACTTTAAAAATCTGAACATTTTACATCAAGAAAAATCACACTGGTGTTTAAAAGACTGATTTAGCTCAGTCTGTAATCCCAGCAGTTTGAGAAGCCGAGGCGAGTAGATTGCCTGAGCCCACGGATTCAAGACCAGCCTGGGCAACTTAGTGAGACTTCATGTCTACAATAAAAAAAATAGCTGGGCATGGTAGGGCGCGTCTGTAGTTCTGGCTACTTGGAAGGCTGAGGTGAAAGGATTGCCAGAGTCCAGCAGGTCAACACTGGGGTGGCCGTGAGTGTGCCACTGCACTCCAGCCTGGGCAACGGAGTAAGACTCCAACTCAAAAATGAAATAAAATAAATAAAAAATAAAATACTGATTTAAAGAAAATGAATGGAAATATAATAATTTGCAAATGTCATTTTAATGTTATTCATCAGTTTTTTTTTACTCATCTTAGGTAGCTATTAATGATTCAGATATCAAAATTTGTAAGTGTCATATAAGAATATTTTTAAGCATTTTCAATTGCTTTTTAGAACTAGAGGAACAATGAAAAGCATTTATATTTTCCAACACATTATAATGAACAAGAATCTCAGTGTTCAGTTTTAAACCAAAGCAGGGATTAAATTTAAAATGCAGTTTGAATTGTACATCTGCCTAAATACAAAAGTGAAAAATCCTAACTGCAAGATCTCCCCCAGACACATCCTCCTCCACAGCTAACATTTAACACTTCAACTCTTCCAGGCCCGGAATCTTCCCAGGACTGACTTTGTGCTTACTTGTGCCAAAATGTGTTAAATTAGACAGGAAGGAGAAGCATAAAATTCAATTCATTATCCAAGGCGAAAATCTGAGCTTTGGTTTGAAAAATGAAAAGCTATTGGGTGACATAACATACTCCAACCTTTCAAACAATCAAGATATTTAATTCCAAAGACAGATCTCAAACAAGAGACAGCCTAAGTTCAGACTGATCACAGGACACCAGCTCCCAACAAATACCAAGGCCAGAAACAGAGATAGAGATGAAGACATGTCCCAGGTTCAAAGCTCGAGAACTAACACCAGACAGCATGACAAGAGATGACAGCAAAGAAAAGGAGAGGTCTGGATGAATCCCTCTCTCCTCCCTTCTCCTGAAGCACACAGGCTCGGGGTGAAACACTGGGATTAGTCAATCCATCAACCCTCCACTTAGTTCTGTCGGTCCCTAGAGCTCGCCTGAAAGGGCAGCTGCCTGCCGAAGAGGAAAAATTAAGGACACAAGTCTAAATTCTAGGGCACAACAGCTAGTATCATTTTCCACTTCAAAGTCTTTCCCTAAACTGAAACAGGCAAGGCCACTCTGAAATTACTCTCTGACGAAACTAAGTCCACAATTTTGTTTTCCCTTCCCTTCCAACTACATATAAGGAGGGTGATCCTGGAAATACAGCCTCTTCTACAGCCAGATCTGGAAGGGCCATCCCAGAGCACCCCTAACTAATGTCTGAGATACCAGAATGTTACATGACCTAACATACTATTCTCTGTCTGCTTCCAGATATTTGTTGCTGAAAAACCAATACTGTCGCCCACCCCTAAAAGAGTCTTTTCACAAGTGAATTAGACACAAGTCCACAACAAATGGACTTAGTTTTTCCTTAACCGGTGACAAGAAGTCGCTTGAACAAATCGCCACTTATATCCAGTGCGGAGGCAACTACCCTCCCCTGACAGACACAGGAGGACAGGAGGCAGGACCCAGATCGGTCTTGGAGGGACTGCAGGAGCAGAGGCTGGGCGCAAAGGCGCAGCCAAGGGCAAGTGAGGCCCCAAACCACACCCAGCGTCGGGAAGCGCCAGGCTCGAGGCAGCTCTTACTAAGCAGCTGCTTAGGACAAGGAAGGGAGGTTGGGAGCCGGGAGGCCACTGCACTAGGCACGAAATAACCCCAAATCTCTTCGAGACCAGGCTAAGACCGAGCAAGGGGCGCCGCCCCCCCCCACTGTAAACCCTTAACCCATCACTTCTGGAACCCTAAATAGGTCTCCCCCATCTCAAAGGCCAGGAAGCACGAGCCCTTCGGGCTCCTGAGCGCGTCCCCAAACCTCGGGCGCTGTTTTTCCAAACCGATCTGCTGCCTCCCTGAAATGGGAGCACGGAAGGCACGGATGTAAGGGAGCCTCCAGGGCGAAGATCGCCCGCGGTGAAGGAGGGGGCTTGGGACGCGGGACTGAAAACAGTGGTCGGCCGTGGGGGTTAGGAGGGGTCGTTTCCTGGGGCCGGTGGGAAGCGCTGCGGCCTCGGATGTCCGAGCTGCGGTGACCCCAACCGAGCTGCGCCCTCCCCCAAGACACCAGCGCCGGGCCCGCGCGCTGCGCGAGCCCACAAAGTGCCACTCTCGCACGCCCGGGGTACGCCCTGGACCCGGGGCCGGGATCCCAAGCAGC